ATACATACATTGTGTTGGGGTCTAGACTGTTTGAAGACAATACCATTCCTGAAGCCAAGAATAGTGAGAAAAATCCTGAAAGACCAGAGCAATTTGGGAAGCAGCCTTACCAAATTACAACTCCGCTGTAATGAAACACGGTAACGTTGGCTCAGGAATGGACCTACAGGCTAACTGAACCAAAGGCAAAGCTCTAAAATATATACCAGGGAATCTTAACACATGACCGTGGAATCTTAATATAGGACCAAGATGATATCTCAAATTAGCAGGGAATGGATGAAATTTTTTGTAAGTGGTCTTGGAAAATTGGATAGCCATTTGAAAAAAGATAAAGTTTTTGTATAACACACCATACACAAAACAAATGCCAAATAGGTGAGAGATTTGAATGCTCTGTTTTTACTAAATGTTCTGAGAGAGGGAGGGAGGGAGAGAGAGGATCCGTAGTGCTGTCAGTGCAGAGCCTGATGTGGGGCTTTAACTCAGGAACCAGGAGATCATGACCTGAGCTGAAGTCAGTCACTTAACCAACGGAACCACCCAAGCACCTCAAGATCTAAATGTTTCTTTAAAAGGCTATACAGGTACTATAAAAGAACGGATGGATTTCATTATAAAACGAAGGGGTAGAAAATTTCTCTATGATTCAAAGTTCAGAAGCAATAAAAGAAAAGATTGGAGTTTCAATTACATGATAAAGCATTTGTAACTTACAAAGCATCGACAAAGCCCCAAAATTAAAATATGGGGACAATCAGTACACAACTATGTAACAGAAAAAAAAAGATCAGAAATCTCTAACATATAAGGAACTAAAAAATTTTAAGGAAAACAGAAAAATGGGCAAAATACATGAATAAGCAGTTCACAGAAAAATAATATAAGATGGCCCTTAAATATATGAAACGATACTCTCACTGACAAGGGAACCGTAACTTTAATGTTCTTAATGTGTTTTAGAAAACATAATTTTCAGTGAAAAGGGAGAAAATTAATATAAAATCAAATAACTAGGTCAAAAATCTTTGACATTTTAACTGAAAATATAAACTTCTGACTCTTCAAAAGTACATATTTCTTCTATGCACTTAATCAACAGAGCTTTGAAACATACGATACAAAACCTGATAGGTCTTAAGGGGGAAATAGAAAAATTGTCAACTATAGTTGGAGACTTTAACACTTTTTTTCTCTCAGGAATTGATACAGTAAATAAGCAGGAAAATCACTGAGGATATAGATACCCGGAGCTGTCAATCAACTTGACCTAATTGCTATTTATAGAGCACTCCACCAAAATATAGCAGAATACACATTCTTCTCAAGTGTAAATGAAACAGACACTGAGCCGGACTATATCCTGAGTCAAAAAATAAGACTTAACAAATTCAATATGTGCATTTATGAAACAATTTTATATTTTTCCTTGGACCATAACAAAATTAAGCCAAAAATCACTAACAAGAGATATCTAGAAACATCCCTAATTATTCCGACATTAAAGACAGAATTCTAAAAACCCAAAAAGAAATCACAAGGCAAGTTTTTAAATGAGACCTAGTATATCAAAATTTGTGAGAAACCACTAAAACAGGGCAGAGAGGGAAAATTTATAGCATTAAAGGTTTATATTAGAAAACAAAAGAGATCTAAAACCAGTAGACCAAGCTTCCACCTTAGGAAACTAGAGAAAGATGAACATGTTAAACACAAAGCAGAAAGGGAAAAAAATGAAAAAAAAAAAAAAAAAAGCAATAGGGGCCATCAATTAAGCCAAAAGCTGGATCCCTGAAACGATCAATAAACTTGATAAATCTTTAGTGTGGCTGATCAAAAAGAAAAGAGGAAAAAAACAAGTTATTGAATAAAGGAGTACAGACATCACTATTAATCCCAAAGACACTAAAAGAATAAGAGAATACTAAGAAAAATCCTATGCCCATGAATCTCACAATTTAGAGGACACGTACCAGTTCTTTGAAAGATGCAAACTACTAATCCCACTCAAGAAGGAAAAAATAATCTAAATAACCTATATCTATTAAAAATTTAATTTCTGGAGCAGTTGGTGAAGATTCCAACTCAGGTCAGGATCTCATGGTTCGTGGGATTGAGCCCAAGTTGGGCCCCGTGCTGACAATGCAGAGTCTGCTTAGGATATTCTCTTTCGCTCTCGCTCTCTGTCTGTCTCTTTCTGTCCCTCCCCTGCTTGTGCTCTCTCTTAAAAAAATAAACTTAAAAAATTTCTTGTTCAAAATTAAGAGAAAAGACTGTCAGATCCAGACCGTGTCACTGGTGAATTATACAAAATATTTAAACAGCAAATAATAAGATTGCCACTAAATTTCTTCCATAAAATAGAAGAGGGAACAGTTCCAAACTCATTATACAAGCCCAGCATTAACATACAACTAGGGGCACCTGGGTGGCTCAGTTGATTAAGCTGATTTTGGCTCAGGGCATGATCTCATGGTTTGTGAGTTCGAGCCCTGCATTGGGCTCTGTGCTGACAGCTCGGCCTGGAGCCTCCTTTAGATTCTGTGTCTCCCTCTCTGTCTGCCCCTCCTCCACTCATGCTCTGTTTCTCTCTCTGTCTCAAAAATAAATAAACATTAAAAAAAATTTTTTTTTCAGGGGCGCCTGGGTGGCTCAGGCGGTTAAGTGTCCGACTTCAGCTCAGGTCACGATCTCACGGTCCGTGAGTTTGAGCCCCGCGTCGGGCTCTGGGCTGACGGCTCAGAGCCTGGAGCCTGCTTCCGATTCTGTGTCTCCCTCTCTCTCTGCCCCTCCCCCGTTCATGCTCTGTCTCTGTCTCAAAAATAAATAAATGTTAAAAAATAAAAATAAAAAATAAGATTTTTTTTTCAATTGAAAAAAACCCATAAAACTAAAACCAGGCAAAGACATTCATTACAAGGAAACTATAATTCAATATTCCTCATGAATGTAGACACAGAAATTCTTTTTTTTTTTTTTTACATTTATTTTTGAGACAGAGTGAGACAGAGCACAAGTGGGGGAGGGGTAGAGACAGAAGGAGACAGAATCCAAAGCAGGCTCTAGGCTCCGAGCGAGCATTCAGCACAGAGCCCGATGCGGAGCTCGAACCCACAAACTGCGAGATCATGAGTCGAAGTCAGTCACCCAACCGACTGACCCACCCAGGTGCCCCTGAAGATGGGACTTTCTATGGAGTGACCAAAACACACGGTTTGTCATCTGTGTGATAGTATGTACAGCATAAGGGCTTTTTGGTTAAAAAAAAGAAAAAAAAAAAAGATGGTAAATAATTATACTCATTTGCTATGTTGCTATGTATGCTTTTAAAAAACCAGATATATAAGATTGCAATGATTATGGGGGAGAAATGGGTATTACTCATTCAAAGGAAGGAAAGTTTGTGGCCTGAAGAGCAGAGCTATTTTTTGTCCACATAGCCCAGTACTGACCTGCTCAAGTAATGACTGGGGAAATGTCGCTATTTCCTACTGGTGGGTGCTGGGTGGCAAGCCAGACAGTGAGGAAGGCAAGAATGCTGATCCAAACCGATGACACAGTGGAACTTCCACTGCAGCTGGTGCCAGCCTCCCGACCCCGACTGCTCTCAGCAGAGGCCAAGATGCCACAAGCATGCCGAGTCAAACCACATCTCTGGGCAGAGAACGATTAAAAACAAAAAAGAAAAAAAAGACCCAAAAGAGATGGATCTGTTATTTCATTAGGTTCTTTGTAAGAAATTTAGAACACCAATTTGTGAGGGTAAACTCCATTCGTGAGGGCAAACACAGAGCGGAGGTAGCCCTGAAGCTGAGGAACAGCTTTGGTTTTTGGCAGAATTTGCGAGTCCACAGCTTTCTGATCAACCTTGCGCTGCTCTGTAATCTCATATTTCTCTTTCTCCGTGTCGAAGATCTCACCTTCCTGGTGTCTGGGCTTACGCAGCTTCTTCTTCTTAAAGTGAGCATCAGTGAGGTGTTTGGGGATTTTCACATTGCTGATATCAATTTTGGTGGAGGTGGCAATGACAAATTTCTGGTGTGTTCTACGCAGAGGAACTCGATTAAGGGACAGAGGTCCAGTCACAAGTAGCAAGCCACTGCTCAGTTGCTTCAGGAAAACCACTCTCTTGCCTCTGTGGCGCCCAGTGAGGATGATCAAAATGGTCCCAGGAGTGATGCTAGCTCGCAGTTTCCTCACATGCTGACTAAAAGGTTTTTTTTTGCCGTGGCTCAACAGCTTCCGAGGCACATCTTCAGTAGGATAATACCTAGGCATTTGGCGAAGTGTAACCACTCGGGTACCACCATTCTTGTCACCACCAACTGGTTTTGTGACAGTAGCAAGAACCTTCTCCTCCTTTTTCTTTTCAATCCTGGATTTAGCTGCTGAATACTTCCTCTTGTACATGGCCTTTCTCGAATACATAGCCGATCGGGAATATCTGCCAATTCCTCTGACTAGGACGGGGTTTCGGCTGCAGTGGGGCCTCCCCTTCTTTGGCGTTTTAGCCTTGAGGTTACCCTTCTTCACGTTGCCACCAGCGTCAGCCTTCTTGGCTTCAGGTTTCTTCTCCTTAGCATCCGGCTTCTCAGCTTTTTCGCCCGCCATCTTGCAAGATGGGAAAGAGCGACACAGAAATTCTTGACAAAATGTCAGCACATCAAATCCAACGATATATAAGCATAATTGTCACAACCAAGTGGGGTTCATCCCAGGAATGCAAGATTGATTCAACATTCAAAAATCAATCGTTGAAATTCACAGTAATAACAAACTAAATAAGCAAATCATATACTCATGTCAATAGTTATGTAAAAAAAAAAAATTCAAATTCAACATCCATTCATGGCTAAACAAAACCAAACAAAACACTCTCAATAACACAATAGGAGGTAACGTCCCTAAGCTACTGAAGAGCATACACAAAAAAATCTAGATCTTACTTCATACTTACTGACAATTATGCATAATGATCTTTTCTCAAGGATCAGAAATCGGGTCAGGAGGTCTTCTCATGCCATTCCTAGTCAATATCAAACCGGAAGACCTAACCAGTACGACAAGGAAAGAACGAGAAATACAGAGTAGAAAGGTAAGAAATAACAACTTCTGTACTTAGTGACAGCCTGAATGTCTGTGTAGAAAATCCCAGAGAGTCTACAAAAATGCTCCCGGAACTAATATGTGAGATTAACATGGGTATAGAGTACCAGGTTATTACATAAAAATCAGTTGTCTTGTATGCCAGCAATATGCAGTCGGGACTTGAAATTGGAAACAAAAATAGTATTAATCACAGCAGGAGCAAAACAATGAAGTACTTAGGTACAAATATATCAACGCATGTGCAGAATCTGTAAGCTAAAAACTACAAAACAGTTATGAAAAGGAATCAAATATCTAACTAAATAAAGAGAATGTATCATGGACCTGAATTGAATATCCAAGCTTCTTAAGATGCCGGTTCTATTTGATCTATAGACTCAACAAAATCTCAGTCAGAGTTGTAGTATGCTTTTTGTGACAAGCTGAGCTAAAAGTTAGATGGCAGAGCAAGGGATCTAGAATCATTAAAACCATTCTGATGGGGAAAAAAAGCAGCGTTGGTGGACTCAAATTCCTGATTTCAAGACTTACTATCTGCGGCGGTAACTACAATAGTGTGGTATTGGTGAAAGGGTAGACCCAGGGAACAGAAGGGAAAGCAGAGAAATGTACCCACACGTTGTACCTACAACTGATTATTTTGATATGGGGTCAAAGGCAATTTAATGGAGAAAGAATAATTTTTAGAAAAAATAGTGCTGATATCATTGGATATCCTTCTGCCAAAAAGCAACCTGTGACACTTTATATCTCATACAAAGATGAACTATGAATGGATAATAGATATCCATATAAAACATAAAATTATAAAACTTTCAGAAAAAAATAGACGATCTGTGTGACCTTGGGTTTGGCAATGCATTTTTATATACAACGTCGAAGACGTGATCTATAAAAAGATGCAAAGTTACACTTTTCAAAATGAAAAACTTTTCAAAGGTTACTCTTGGAATGAAAAACCAAAATACAGGCTGAAACAAGTATTTGCAAGTCACATATCTGAGAAATGAGTTGTATCAAGATTATGGAAAGAAGTCTTATAACTCCATAATAAGAAAACAAACTACCCAATTAGAAAATTGGGCAAAATATCTGAAGAGACACTTCACAATCCCGTGAGACAAAAACAACAGGAAAGCCATTACAAAAAGACCTAGCTGCTCAAGGATATTGACTTTGATCCCTTGAATCATAATGTCATATCCCAGAGAAAGAATGCTTTGGGAGGCCTTCTGAAATTGCCTCTGGTTTTATTTGAATATTAAACCTTGTTGCCTCAGATTTCTCTGTAGTTTTAATAGTTCTGGCTTTTGTTTAACTCAGCTGGAGCTTTTTAAAAGGCTAATAGAAGCATCTAATAAAGATTCCAATATTGGAAACAATATGCAGTGAAAATTTAATCTTCCTTGTACGCTTGACTTTCAAGCTCTTTCCCGGAACCCTAATGTTAACTCTAGCTGTCACCCTAGTCTTCTCCTGGTTTCTAGGGCAGTGTCAATTCTTCCATGAAGTCCGAGGAGAATAATACACACACACTTTTCTGCATCTTGTAGTTCTCTTGTCAACACACACACACACACACACACACACACACACACAGAGTATTTAATGTGATTTTGTTGAGGTACCACAATTTCTTTTACCAGCATGCATTAATGAATATCTTTGTGGTTTCCACTTGGTGCTACACACAATATTGAAATTTAAACCATTGTGTCTTTTCATATATGTATATATTTTGCTCAACTATATATATATATATATTTATGGTCTTCACTATTTTGAAAACAACTCATGAACCTACAGACTCCAGGGTTGAAACTAATGCTAGAGATATTTTTGGAACAGTCCAAAGTATTTTCACCAAATGATGTTTTCTTAGCTATTCCGTTGCCCTAATTTACCCAACCACTGAGTTCACTTCAACAAACTGAACATGTGATGGGCCCCTCCCATGTGCCAACCACTGCACTAGGTGTTCTCACCAATACCATAGAGACCTGGACACCAATCTTAGAATCAGCCTGCATCTAAGAGGAGTGAGATTAATAAGTATATGCATAATATCTCCACAGAGTTTATAATTAACATCTTGTGAAGTTCACTGGAAGACGAGGAGACTGGCTCTGCTACGTCTGGGAATGGCGAGGCATCCAAATGCTGATCACCGCATGCAATTAAGTAGAGAGAATGGCTGAAGATCTTCAGGATGTCCTTGGACATTTGGAACACTGAGTATTTTCGGTCAATTCTATTTAGAGAAAATCGGATGCTTAATGACTGTGGTTTAGAGGTCCACAATAAGACTAATGGACTGAAAACCCAAGAGAAGTGCTCATGGCAGGAAGAGCATCAAGAGGATATAAAGTTATGGAAAATAAATGATGATCCATGTTACCACCAATAGGCTCTCGTATGAACCCAACCACCTGTGCAAGGTCATTACTGCAACAGAGAACCAAGTCTGCTCCAGGTAGGTGCCAGGATGCCGGGGCTAGTCGTGTACTCTGTGCTCAGGGTTTAGGCCGGTGCCTGACAGCATGGTAAACAATAAGTGTTGGTTGTGTTTTCTCTTCTTTCCTCTGTCCTCCCTTTCTCTCCATCACCACTTCTCCTGGCTGTGGACCCCAAGTATCAACCCTTCTTTTGACTCCCCCTTTTTGATGTCCACACTCGGACACACTTGGATTAGCTCTGACCACACGGGTGCACAGACACTTCCTCTGTCGGGTCCTGCCGGTGGGACCTCACAATCCTATCCCTGCTCAGACCAGGAAAAGAGGTTCTGTGGAATCTAGAGCAATTGTGGCCAAAGAAGAAAGTGAGGAAAAGAGAAGCTGGACGTGAATAAACAGGGCAGAAAAGAACATCTTTAATTCATTTTCCCTGCCTCCCTCTGATTTTTAATACCTCAACTTTCATGAGAGCATGATACTTCTAACTTGATCATTGAATGATATGGAATATCATTGATTATTCCCATATAATACTCAGGCACGTATTAATTTCATATATTTCATGTGCTATGTCAAGTTTAGACATTTACCCTAATAAAGGGCGATGTTTAAAGAAAAAGTTTACCCTGAAATGCCTTCCATTCCCTGAACACACGAGTTGGCCCATTCTGTGGGTTTGCAAACCAACCATCAGACGTATGAAATGTTTGAAGCGGCTTTACTGGTAATATCAAGTACAGCTTCTAACTCTAAATCATAGTTGCTCTAAAAGTTTCATGTAGGTGACAATTTTCTGTGCAGAGTGTTAAAAACCACTTTATAATAGCAACTCCCACAAAACCTCTTCAGTTATATGGGTCTGTTAGCATTTTATTTTAAACACCCTTTTGACAGGTGTATTATGTAGTTATTATATTTTCCATGCATAGAACATTCTTGACATTCACTTCACTTGTAGTTTTTGATTAGAAAAGGAAAAAGTTCAGGAAAAAAATCATCTGCTTGGCTGAATGAGGATGAAAGAGAAGTCCATTTAGCAGTGACTCTTTGTATCATTGACCTGAAGTAAAACAAATGCAAAACTCATTCAGACGATCTTCATTCATTTGGGCACTCACAAACTCATTCATTTATTCAGTATTTATTTTAACTGTTTTCTCCCCCCACGCGTGGGGCCTTGTGCCAAACATCAGGAATCTGAAGACAAAGACCCAGTCTGTGACTACACACAGTTCATTCTCTTATGTGGGAAGCAGTAATGCAGACAAGCAAATTCCTGCAAAGCAGCCATTAGATGTGCTAGGAATAGAAGGGGCATAAAGACAAGTGGGAGCCAGGAAAAGCCTGATGCAAAAGGTGTTTTTCCTCAGAGGGGTCATCGGAGAAGAGCGTTCAAGGCTGAGGGTATTGCGTCCCAAGTGCAGAGGGGAAGGGGGAAGCAGAGAAGCTGGGTGCAGGAGATAGTTCAGTACGGCTGGCAAAAAGAGTCAAGGCCCTGGAGTGGAGTGGAACAGTGAAGGTCCAGACCGTCGGAGACGGTCTCAAGAGGGGACTTCAGGGCCGCAGAAGTGGGAGAGGTACATGGTACAATCGTGGCGTGGTCTTTCCGTGGGATTTAGGGCTCTCCTTATGTGATCTTAAGGTCTTTCCTTCCACCTCCCCATTCCCTCCCTCACCGGCCACAAGGACCTCTTTCCTGCTGTTGCTGAAGGAGGCCGAGCAAATTCACCACCAGCCCCCACTTCTCCCTCCCAACGCTTTGGACTTAGGCTTTCTTCTGTTTGGTCTGTTTTCTTCCCACTCAGCATGCTCTTGTCCCTTTGCTTTATTCAAATCTCTACTCAAGGGCACCTCCTTAGAGAGCTTTGCCAGACTAAGGTAGAAGCATCTCATTATATGTATATATAATGCTTTGCTTTTTCTTTTTTACTGTATTAGGCTAAGTGACACTTTGACTTATGAGATATTATTTATTGTCTGTATCCCTTACTAAAACGTCAGCCACTTCAGGGCAGAGACGGTTTCTGTGACCACAGAAGCAGCAATTAAAATACCCCCCGGCATGTAGATGATGGCCAATACACGTCTGCTGAGTGATGAACGCATCAAAGAGACCTATTTCTGAACGCGTGAGCACACTCCACTGTTGTTGCAGCCCCCACCATGCCCTATACGATACCGGAGTGGAAAAGTTGGTGAAAGTTGTCCCTGGCCTCATTGTAGTTTCAAGTTTTAAGAGAGCTTGGAAAAGAGCTCTTAACTAAAGCGAAGTAATAAAGTCTTGAGAAAGAACCTTCCGTGCCTTAGAACCTTCTGTGATGGGAAATGGTACTTTTTCACCCACTATCTTCCCTCACTGGGTGACAGCCCTAAAATAAGAAAAGATTTGATAAGCAAGTGGTTTGCCAACTAATTTCTTTCCCGTAGGTACTTTGTTGAGCTTGGCATGGAGCTAACAAAGGAACTCTTATCCAAAGATCTTACTCTGGCGATCCCAGAACAGCACATGTTTCCATATCACCAGTCAATCTTATTTCTAACGGCTATAGAAAAATCCCTTGCCCCAATAACACGTCAGATTCCCTCGGAGCGTGGACAGTCTTCCTTAATCAAATTGTCCATCACAGGGGAAGAAGTGGTTGTTCAGATCCTGGGGAGAAGGGAAGAGAGGATTTCCTTCATCTATTCTTTCAGCACAAATTGCACAGCTTCCATTAACTATAGTCTCCTTTAGGAGATCTAGTCTTTAGTGGGTCATCTGGGGTCGGAAGTGAGCAGATGGGAGGTATGAAAACGGTGTGGCAGCTAACACTGATTGCCTCCGAAGGGTGGCCATATGGGTGATGCAGGTTTCTTTGAATTCTAGGAGGTCAAATTTTTCCAGGATAAACGTGTATCCAGTTTAAAAGCAGGAAATAAAATAATGCCCACCTATGCTGTTTCCAGGCCAACAAATTTAAGAATTCCGTCCTTGTGCCTCCAGGACCTGTTGAACATAGAGCTCTTCCTTTAGGCTTGGGTAACTGCTGGCCCATGACTGCCTCGCCTTCTCTAGTCGTAGAATTTCAATTTGACATGGGCCGGTGGACTCTAGCCAAGATTTTCTTTTGAGGGCCCCATGAAGTCATTACTGAGAAGGTTCAATGGCCCCATGAAGTCATTACTGAGAAGGTTCAATGGCCCCATGAAGTCATTACTGAGAAGGTTCAATGGCCCCATGAAGTCATTACTGAGAAGGTTCAATGGCCGCCCCGCTTTGGAAAATCGATAAAATGCTAGCCTTTCCCTTCTTTCCGGTCACCACTCTTACGGGATGGAGAGGGGAAAAATCCCGTCCCAAAGAGGTATGGGGTTTCTTGTTCTAAATGCATTGTCCTGCCCATTTCATTTTTTGTGCTCAAACTTCAGGGAAAGTTGCAGTGGTACACCCAAGTGTATACCCTTGGCTAACTCTGATTGTTTCATGATGGTTTTCTTCTAATCTCTGCAGTCTCTAGTTTTAATGACAACCTGTTCTTCGTGTCCTATTCTCATCCTGCGATGTACCTTGCAGACGTGTGCCTCATCGCCTTTTACAAGGGATGCGTCTGTAGATGGTGCTTCTGACTTTTAACGTCTTTGAAGGGAGCTGTCAAGTGCAACAGATTTCAAGCTAAGCAGCCTCCTTTTTCACTTCTGGAACTGCTGCCTGCCAGCTGCGTGACCTTTCGCTTAGGCCTCTGTTTCATTTGTGAAATGAGGGGCAACGTGCATTATCTTGGAGATTCAATAACACAGCACAAGCGAAGCTTTAGGCTTGTGTCTGACACTTAGAGCTGAGAGAAGGCTCATTATGATATTGCTAGATATCTTCACCAGAGTCACTGCCAAGGAATCATTAGCTGTTGTTAAATAAATACCTACTTGGAGCTACTCACCTTGGAGCACCTGTCGTATTGTTGTTCCATTGAGGAACAGCCATATTGTAAACCAACCACTCTAGAGAACGATTGTCTAACGCTGTGAGGTGCCCAAACACTCCCTCCAAATCTTGCGAGGTCCATCAAGGTGCCACAGAATCTGTTACAAGTAATCCCACTTCAAACATTTTTTCCAAGTTCACTAAAAACCCCTCTATCCCTTTTTCATGTGCTGTTGTAACTGACCTTTTACTGTTAATTTATATATAATGATTTCTCGCGATCTGTTCTCGTGTGTAAATACAAGAAACTTACAGACTCCCTTTCCTCTCCGAGTCTGAAAATCAGTTTATACCCGTTATGAGACCTTGAACGGAAATGACGATGAAACGTGTCACAAGTTCTTGCTATCATTTGGAGTCAAGGATGCTTCTAGCACTTGCAGAGGTAGAGTTGACATTGTAAATACAGGTTTATAGTGGAAATAAACTATTGCACTAAATGGTTAATGCTGCTTTTGGGATCCCCTGGACCAAAACTCCCCTTTAAGAGGGGCTCTTAAACTCACATGGCTCTTACCACCTCCTTCTACTCCCTTTATGTATAGAGAGAAGAAGTGAGAGAGTGAATACACACCTTGGAAGTGTCAGTGATTAATGCTGTCAACTGCACTGTGTCCCCTGAAGAGCCAAGGTGCGTAGGTCCGCCTGCCCTGTCTTCTGTGTCTCCCGTCGTGAACAGTTGGACGATCCCAGGGAGAAGCGGTGTCTCCTAGTCTGTTGAAGCAATCAGTGAAGTGAATGAGTAATGAGTGAGAGCACATTAGTGCCATTGGTGGTTAATAAACTCAATCGTCTTTGCTGCGTGCCCCTGATTTCCACAGCTTGCTAAATAAAAGTTTATTTATGGTCTTTAGTGTATGATAATTTCCACATATGAGCTTTAATAAAGCAAAAATAGGTGCAGGGAGAAGCGCTACAGGAAACTAATGAAAGCAAACATGAAAAATGGAGAAAGTAATAAATTTTTATTAGGGATCCCTGCCAAGAAAGCCCTGAATGTGAGAACAAATCACATTCGCTAAGAAAAAAACACTGGTTAACGTTCATGGGCTCTCTCTGGAGCGAGAGGGTTGGGTATCTTAGCTATGGGATGCTTTAAAGCAAACCCCAGTTCTAGCCGTTCATCTTTTGTCACTCTACCCTATGCTTTGGCTACAACTGGTCTTTCAGTATCATAAAAGACAACGCGCAAGTCATTTACTCATCTGGAACGAGTTTCACTACGCTCCAGCCCCTTCGATTACAGATGGTCTTGCCTTCTGGATTATCCTCCCACATCCCTAGATCCTCACCTCCTAAGGGGGCGTCTTTTCTTTGATGTGGCAGAGGAGCACCATAAGTGTTCTGGGCCACGGGATCCAGATCTATACAGAGCATCTCTGTTGGGACATAGCAAAGCCTTTGGACAAGAAGAAATTTGTTCCAGGTGGAAGGCAAGAGAGACTTGACAATGGCACAAAGAAGGGGGACACAGGCTGGTTATTGAAGGGAAATAAATATTTGGGACCTTGATTAAGGTTTAAGCATCCCAGGGACACCATCCTGCAGAGGCCAGGGAAAAGAGGGGAAAATAACGAAGAAGCCTGCTAAGGAGCAACCAATGGAAGAGGAAGAAAATCTAGACTGGAGGCCAAGTCATGGTTTTGTTTCTAAAGGAGAGTGTGGGGGCGCCTGGGTGGCTCACAGCTTGTCGGTTCGTGGGTTCGAGCCCCGCGTCGGGCTCTGTGCTGACAGCTCAGAGCCTGGAGCCTGCTTCGGATTCTGTGTCTCCCCGCCTCACGCTCTGTCTCTCTTTCTCGCTCAAAAATAAACAAACATTAATAAGATAGGGACAGAGAGTTGAACATTAGGTTTAATAACAGAGTGTTTTAAAAAGTATTTCAATGTAATAATGGGGGCGGGGGGGGAGGTGGTGAAATCACTGATTACTCTGCTGTAAGACAAATGGAAAGAGTTGAAATGGAGACAATGAGTATATTCAATGCTTGGAAGTACTTTTGGTGACAAGGGGCAAATAAAAAATGGGTCACAGTTTGAGAGGAAAGTATTTGAGATAGTTTTTTTTTAATATAGAAGAGACAGTATGTTCATATGCTAATATAGGTTATTTATATTAGGAAACTGATAATAGTGAAGAGAGGGAAATATTCTGGGGTTTTGTTCTAGTGCAAATAGGAAAAAGGAAATGCTTTTAGAAAGGAAGGTAGATAGTTAATCTGTTGTAACATGGGGGAAGGCAGAGCATATAGATATAGATGTTGTTAGGTATGTAAGCGAGTTATAAACTCATGAGAAATTATCTTCTGATTGATTGCTTTAATTTCTGATTTCTTCAATTTCTCAGTGAATGAGGAAGCAAGATCATCAACTGAGAGTTTAAAAACTGCCGCAAACCTTAAATTGTTCTTAAAAAAATAAAGTAAAAAAAAAAAAGTGAATCTGCATTTACGCCTCTCATCATATACCAAAATGCACTCAAAATGGATTACAGATTTGAGTATAAAACCTGTAGGAGAAAAATATAGGACAACGTCTGCAGCACCTAGGATTTGGGGGAGATTGTTAGTCATGATACCAAAATCACGATTTATTAAATTAGAAAAAGTCAGTGAATTGGACTTTATCAAAATTAAATACTTTTGTCCAGGGAAAGGCACTGTTCAAATGATGAAGACAATGTATAGACTGAAGAAAATATTTGCAAACTACACATGAGACAAAGGACTAGTAGCCAGAATATAAAGAACCCTCACAATTAATCAGTAAAAAAACCCAAACAATCCAATGGGAACATGGGTAAATAAGGGAGAGAAATTCACAGAAGAGAATAAACTGATGGAAAATAAGCACATGACAGGCTGGTCACCACTATCAGGGAAATGTCTTGCTTCTCTACTGCCAGTCTGTGAGAAAGTGCTTGTGGCTTTCCATCACCGTTTAGATTATTCCAAGAACCATCATTTAGACCAGTAGGTTGAGAAAAATCACTACTCGTCTCCAATAGAGTGGGGTTGGGAGTGCTAGGTTGGAGGAAAAAAGACAAAGAAAAGTAATCAGACCCAGTGAAATGGAATTGCTAGAAAAAGAGAGATGGAAAATGTAATTTAAAAAAATAAATAAGTGAGTGCATCCATGGGAATTCAAGTAGCGCAGCAAAGAGACTTACACTCTAATATGTGGTTTCACAATTAAGCAGTTTTTAGACTAGCTGAAGAACAGGCTAGCCATTGTGGAGACCTCAGTTAGGGGTCTGAGTGATCAAGCCAGAAATCTCTCAATACATTGAGTAAAATATGAAGGAACTGAAAATCACAAGGGAGAAGAGAAGAGCCCCGGAAGACCGAGTTTCTCATATTAAATATATGCATTTCTTCCCTCTCTCTCTGCCCCTCCCCCGTTCATGCTCTGTCTCTCTCTGTCCCAAAAATAAATAAACGTTAAAAAAAAAAATTTTTTAAAAAAAGGGGCGCCTGGGTGGCGCAGTCGGTTAAGCGTCCGACTTCAGCCAGGTCACGATCTCGCGGTCCGTGAGTTCGAGCCCCGCGTCGGGCTCTGGGCTGACGGCTCAGAGCCTGGAGCCTGTTTCCGATTCTGTGTCTCCCTCTCTCTCTGCCCCTCCCCCATTCATGCTCTGTCTCTCTCTGTCCCAAAAATAAATAAACGTTAAAAAAATTTTTTTTAAATATATGCATTTCAGAAGTAGAAGACAGAACAGAGGAGAGACAATAATTAAGCAGATAATAGAGGAGCATTAACTCTGAAGAAAGGTCAGAATCTTTAGACTGAAACTGCCCCGAGTTCTAGGCTAGGTTAGTCAGAAAAAAAATCCATAAAAGGCATCCCTCTTAGGCATACTTGGTAAAATCCATAGTCTCAAAGGATATAAATACATAAGCTTCTAGGTCAAAAGAGTAAAAGAAACATAAAACCCGACTGCTATCAGATTCTTCGATTGCAAAAATTTGCATTTAGAAGTCAGAGGAAAGAAGTCAATATATTGGTTCCCACTGAGAGAAGAGAGAAACTTCCAGGGTTCTAGAAATATTCTAGATCTTGAAATGAGTGGTAACTACAGAGGTATAAATATATGGTGATATTTGTTAAGCTATATGCTTAACATTAATGCCCCTTATGCAACCTACAGTATGTTATACTTCAATAAAATGTTTTTATTATAAAAAAGTCAGAGGAAAGATGTTGATACATCATTTAAAAAATGACTATGACCAGAGAGTTCTAAATTTAGAAAGATATTATTTGACAAGTATATCTCCATGTTTATATTTCTATCTATCATCTATCTAACCTATCTAACTTTTTAGGAATTTTAGGAATTTTTAGAGTAATGCACACATCCCATTCTTTCCTGAGAAAAATATTTGAAACATACATCTAAAAAAAAAAAAAAAACAGAGGCTCATGAAGAAAGTAGTAAATATGGTATATATGGGTATAGATGAAGATAAGGCTGATAGTTTATTTGTACAACTATAATGGCTGTTAAAATAGCGAAACTCTGTACTGCTTGGTATGTAGCTACAGATCCAATCCCTGAACTCTTCCCCAAAGATCCCCTGGGCTATCTCACAGTCTAGTAACTAAAGGCTTAATGTCCGGACCATTAGGAGGCCTCCAGGTTTATAAACTTACTGCCCTAGATGGGGCGCCTGGGTGGCTCAGTTGGTTGGGTATCCAACCTCAGCTCGGGTCGTGATCTCACAGTCCGTGAGTTAGAGCCACGCATCGGGCTCTGTGCTGATGGCTCAGAGCCTGGAGCCTGCTTCGGATTCTGTGTCTCCCTCTCTCTCTGCCCCTCCCCCTGCTCATGCTCTGTCTCTGTCTCAAAACTAAATAAAAACATTAAAAACAATTTTAAAAAATAAATAAATTTATTTACCACATGATTCTACTCTTCTGTGCTTCTTTAGATAAGTATTCTTTCTCATTCTCTTTCTTTTTCTCCTCAATCAGATTCAGTATGGGTTCGTGTATTTTTTTCGGTCATCTTAAATAAACAGTGCTTGAAGGATGTAATTGGAATTGGTTTGTGTGCTTGCCAACAGAGATTCCTAATTGATATGCCCATCATTTTATCACCCATAGATGAGGCCTGCTGCTTGACTGATTTATCTGCTTCTAGATATAGAGACAGATAAATACAGACATAGAGATACCAACAATAAAAGCACGTTTGCTAATGTCGTACAACCTACATTTGTGCTTCCTAAAGAACATAGTTGAAGTTCAATAAATATTAACATACACTACAATCCTACCAATACAGTGATGCGATTTATGTCACTAGTCTTCTGTTCTTGAATATTTAATTTACTACCAGTGTTTTGTTATTGTAATCACAGTGGTGAGCACACTTGTGCTCATTTTAAATTGTCTTCTTAGGGCCATTTCTTACAAGTGGAATTTCAGAGTCAACTGTACGCATACTTTTAAATTATTTGAGACGCACAACCGATTTTCTGCCAGAAGCCAGAATCCTTGATAATTCAATTAGCGGTGTCTTGAAAATCAAGTTCCTAAGTTCCTCCATCCATTAGCAAACAATCTGTCTACTAATGGATAATATATTTTTTTTTATTTTGTCCATTTTAATTGGGTAAAATAGTCTCACGGTACCTGAATTTGCATTTCTTGAGTTTGTAAGCCTTAAAAAGATATTCTGGGGGCGCCTGGGTGGCGCAGTCGGTTAAGTGTCCGACTTCAGCCAGGTCACGATCTCGCGGTCCGTGAGTTCGAGCCCCGCGTCGGGCTCTGGGCTGACGGCTCAGAGCCTGGAGCCTGTTTCCGATTCTGTGTCTCCCTCTCTCTCTGCCCCTCGCCCCTTCATGCTC